AAACACTGTGGTCTCCCACCCACCTCTTTCCAATTTTGGAAACGGTCCCTCATATACACTTCTATATATGACTTGAATAACCAATCGAAAGTTCAGAATGTCCCCCTAGTGGTTTTCTCAGCTATTTTATTGTTATTGTGTTAATTTCATTCCTTTCACACAAGATTCCAAATGATAAGGTAAGTCTTTAGTGAGTTCGATATTTCATATTTTATTGTTATTGTGTTAATTTCATTCCTTTCACACAAGATTCCAAATGATAAGGTAAGTCTTTAGTGAGCTCGATATTTCATATTTTATTGTTATTGTGTTAATTTCATTCCTTTCACACAAGATTCCAAATGATAAGGTAAGTCTTTAGTGAGCTCGATATTTCATATTTTTTTAGAACCAAATACAGCTTAGTTACTAAGCTTGATAAATTATAATTTTTTGGTTATTTAAGATATATATATATATAAAAAAACTCAAATATATTTCATTTCGCATCTTCCTCATGGAAAATTTCATAAGGCTTCGCAACTTATGACAAGCGGCAAATGAGTGAAAAGGTTGTAACTAGAAGAGATAATTGTTTGTTTTACTTCTTTATTTACTGTTCCATGTTTTAAGGAAAATAAGTTTAAGAACTTATTTGTAAATAGTAATAATCTATGTACATATATAATGTATAATAATTGAAATGTGACTGTATTTTACAAAATACTAGTCCACTAAAACACAGCCAAGACAGGTCACTATGTTAAGACTAAAGGTCTGTTATATATTATTGGATACAGTAACATGGGTGCATGTGTGCTGAATCATTGTAACTTCTATATTGTTAGCTAGGTAAAGGTAAAGATAATAAAAATAATAAATATATATATATATATATAGATAGATATAGATTTAAGCTATTTAGACTAATCTGTGTTTTCATGTTATAATTTGTAGTCATTCTAGAATGAAAAGGCATGATTTATATTTTTTCCTAATTTTTTTATTGAGGTTACGAAGTCAATTAAATTGAACCAACCTGTACAGAACTACAATAGTGAAAATAAATAAAATATAAATTTTTTTCTAAAAAAAGTTATAATTATCTGGACATTATAAAGATTTTGCATGTGAAATTTGAAAATGTTCTAATGCATTAAAGTATTTTTAATTTTAAAATCAAAATTTCTTTAAATGTTGGATAGTCAACATTCTGAAAGAAAAAGGTTTATGAGAAAATCTTTAATTAAAAAATCTTAATACTTAATTTAAAAACTAGATATTTTGTGTACAAAAAATCTTTTAATGTTTACAAATAACTTGTAACATTTTGTAAAGATGTGCCTACATTATCAAAAAATCATATTATGATTACTCTCTTGGATACTTTCATTTTTACAAGCTGGGTGGATTCCACCCAGCCTGTAATGGAAGAGTGAAGCAGTATATCCCATTTTTTTGTAT